TTAGGTATGTATGTATGTATCGATCTTATCTATATCTATAGGGTTGCGGCCATCCTGGAGCGTTCTGCGGATTGCTGAGGTGGTGTGGCCTGTATCATTGACATTAACAAGTTAGTTCAGTGGTGCCGCAGCTCATCTCCTTGCCCGACGCGATCACCCTGCACGAAATTTGCACCTTGCGAGAATCGACCGTGGATGTTCCCGTTCGCGCCAGTTGAGTGTTAAGCACGGCCGTGTGTTGTAATACTCGCAGACGCGGATGGAGGGTGGAGGACATCTTCAGCGCCTGGCCGACGGCCGCAAGCTGTTTGCGGCTGCTGGGAGATCATCTCTGGCGAGAAACTCGGCAAGCCCAACAACGGCAAGATGCGCGTGCACAAGATCGAGAACGTCAACAAGTCGCTGGCCTTCCTGCACACGAAGGTGGGTGCCGTCGGACGACCTGGGGCGCCACCGCCGCGCGCGTGAACTGCCGGCCGCGCCAGCTGTGGCTCGGCTGCCGCGTAGTTTGTGTTGTCGCTATCAGCGGGATCTGTGCCGCTGTGCCCAATATGTTCCGCCGTTGCGGCCTTTCTTGCCCGCTTCTCCGCGGTGTCTGAGTGGAGACGACTGTCGGGTCTGTGGACGCCGTGAGCTCACCGAGTCCCTCCCCGGACGGCTGGTGCCGTGCGCTCCGCCTGTTTCTGCCCCGCGCCTGTGGACGCCGTGAGCTCACAGTCCTTCCCCGGACGGCTGGTGCCGTGCCCTCCGCCTGTTTCCGCCCCGCGCCTGTGGCGAGCCGCGCCGCGCCGGTATTCGGTACCGTGTTGCGGTGGCACGGCGCCGCCAGCACGCGTGCCTCGGCACCCCGAGGCATGGCCGAGCTGTGCGCGGCGGCGGCGCGGCGTGTGCTGCGTCACGATCGGCCCGGCCGCCGCCGCCGGGTCGCTCTCTCACGTCACGGTCAGTGAAGTCGGGCCGGCAGACGTTCATGAGCAGCGAGCCGCGGTCTGGCCCGTGTTCATTAGGGGGCTTCATCGACATTTTATATGTATATATATATATATATATATATATATATATATATATATATATATATATATCAAGGTGCGTGTGTGTGATGCGACTGGCGTGAAGGCTGTGGTTAAGTGTATGTTGTCCATCACATGAACGTTACTTGCTTTATGATGTCAGAACTGACAATAGCATCCACGTTGGAGCGGCGAAGAACCTTGGAAATTTCGCCGCGTCTTGCGTACTGTAATTCACAGCCGCTAACTGCTTGGGCACAAAATTTGAACAGTTTGTGCCGTGTTTTTTCGGCTGTAGTTATAATAGAAGAGACGCGACGCGTGTTGTACATTTGTGATGCACATCGCGCAAATTTCACGCAACACGACTCTACGCAGCTATGATTGCGCGGTGCTCAGTTGCGGCCGATAGCCGATCACTGTAGTGTGTAGCGGGTATGTGTAGTACGATTATATCAGGAAAACCTTGAAAACCGTCATCAATTGTGGTCGCCCAGAGGAAAGATGTTGGACTCGGTAATCCCGGCGGTTTCCGGATATGGCTCTCGAACGTACGCAATTGTCTGGCCTGCATACCGGGTAAGTTACTTGGCAACTGGCCAGAGTTCGGTCCCGGAGGGCCGTGACACGGTGGTGTAATGCGCGACAGGAAAAAGACCCCGCCGCATTCCGAGCTGGCTGAAAATGCCAGGGGCCAACCGATTGAACTGGAAGCACGTGACTTGAATGGCGGCTTGGGGTGCGCGTTGACACCCTCTTGATCGGCATGTAGATATTCGGAGTTCAGGCCCGACCGCGCGAATCAGTCGTGACTGAGCCCCAAATAGCGTTTCTAAAACTGACCAGAGCGGCCGCGTGCGATAGCCGCGATCTGCATGACGGGGCAGGTTAGCCACTCCCACCCAGCTCGCCGCCACTCCTGCGCTGCTGGGACAGATGGGGAGGACCCCGTTGCCATGAGGGCGGCATGGGTGGGGGTGCCGGTGACTGATGGGGCTCGTCTGCCGGAAGCGGTGAATCAGCCGGGGCGGAGGGCGGGGGGGCTGCGAAAACCGTACACACGCCCGCCTCCGACCAGCGGTACTTCTGGCCCGCCGGCCGCCGCCAGTCGGCCCGGCGCAGCGGCGACGGCCGGTCCCAGAGCCAGTCTCTGTCTAAAACGGCCGCCGGTCGTCAGGGGGCCGGTCCGGTGTCGAGCTCGTGTCGCGCTGGCGCCGGCGGGGGTTAGGGGAGGGGAGGGGAGGGGGTCTGTCGCCAGGTGGCGCCCCGCCCCGCCGGCTGGACAGCTGCCCGCCTGTGTGCCTGGACCCCGGCCTGCCACGTGAAAGGCTGGACTGACGAGGCGTCCCGCACCCCTCCGCTCGATCGGCCGGGCGCCCCGCGACTGGGCAGTGATGCAGCGCGTGACGTTACGGGTTTGTTGTACATCCGTCACGGTCCGGTCTGTGAACACCGTCAACGGCCCGGTCTGTGTCACATCCCGGTCACGGTCCGGTCTGTATCACAATCTCATCACGCGGTCCGATCCGGCCGGGCCCGTGCGGTGCAGCAGCGCGCGGGCCCGTCTCGTGACGTCTGTGGGGCGTGAGTGGGCCGGCTGCCGCCCCCGGCCGCGCCGCCCTGCGTACCCGCGCGTGTAGGAGGCCGTGCGTGGCGCCCGCGGAGAATCCTGATAGAAGCCACCCACGGCAGCGCTACCAATCACCCTGCTGACGGCGGACCACGGCCGCCTCCCAGGGCTGTTACAAAGTGCGAGAAGGTGGGGGCCAGGCCCGAGCGGCGCTCAGACTTCGCTGAACGTAACTGGTTCACCTTCAGCTGCCTTCGGCGTGACCTACCGAGCGCTGGGCTGACCTGCCGTCCGTGACCTGAGCTGACCCTGCGCCGGTCGACCTGGCCGGGCGGCACTCGACCTGACGGCGCTGGCGTTTGCCCGCAGGTGCGACTGGAGAGCATAGGTGCTGAGGATATCGTGGACGGCAACCCTCGCCTGATCCTGGGCCTCATCTGGACCATCATTCTACGCTTCCAGATCGAAGTCATCGACATCGACATCGTACGTATCCGCACTCGACATGCAACCGTACACCAACGTGACGCCTAGTGATGACGCCGCCCAGCATGTCGCGATCACTCGTCGGCTGTTGAACATTTCTCGCCTGGTGTGAGCTAGGCGCCCTTATAAGGTCATCCAGACCATCCCATGTAAACATGGTTCGCTATTCAACAAGCCTTTGGTCGTGTGAGCTTAACATTCTTTCCTGTCTGCGGTATGACACGCTTGTCAAACTCTGCAATAACCATACGTGTGCAGCAGACGACATATCGCCGACTCCTGTTGTTTGTGTATATTTACCCGGGTCATTCGCTGACACGCGACGGACGACTGGCCGGGGGCTGTGGAGGCCTAGTCTCCGGCCAAATCTCGGGAGACACCCGCAAATAAACGACCGCCATCGCAACCCGGGCGTTGCATCACTCGGAATTGGCCGCCGCGGCGGTCCGGGCGGCCGAAGGCGGGGGCAGGGACGGCCTGGGAGTTGGCGGGCGAGGAGCGAGGACGTGCGCCACCACGGAACTAGCCGACGCGCGGACCACCTGGCCCGGCTCCACCCTCTGAACGGACTCACCGCGGCAGCTGTGGCCCTGAGGAACCGGGCTGTGACAGGCAGGCATTCTCTGCCGGACGGCCGCCGGTGCGCTCCGGGGAGCAGAACGGGACAGCCCGGGGAGCAGAGCGGGACAGCCCGGGAGCAGAGTGGGACAGCCCAGGGAGCAGAGTGAGGCAGCCCGGGGAGCAGAGCGGGACAGCCCGGGAGCAGAGCGGGACAGCCCAGGGAGCAGAGTGAGGCAGCCCGGGGAGCAGAGCGGGACAGCCCGGGGAGCAGAGCGGGACAGCCCAGGGAGCAGAGCGGGACAGCCCGGGAGCAGAGCGGGACAGCCCGGGGAGCAGAGTGGGACAGCCCAGGGAGCAGAGTGAGGCAGCCCGGGGAGCAGAGCGGGACAGCCCGGGAGCAGAGCGGGACAGCCCGGGGAGCAGAGCGGGACAGCCCGGGGAGCAGAGCGGGACAGCCCGGGAGCAGAGCGGGACAGCCTGGGGAGTAGAGCGGGACAGCCCGGGGAGCAGAGCGGGACAGCCCGGGGAGCAGAGCGGGACAGCCCGGGAGCAGAGCGGGACAGCCGGGAGCAGAGCGGGACAGCCCGGGAGCAGCGGACAGCCCAGGGAGCAGAGTGAGGCAGCCCGGAGAGCAGAGCGGGACAGCCCGTGGAGCAGAGCGGGACAGCCCGGGAAGTAGAGCGGGACAGCCCGGGGAGCAGAGCGGGACAGCCCGGGGAGCAGAGCGGGACAGCCTGGGAGTAGAGGGGCAGCCCGGGGAGTAGAGCGGGACAGCCCGGGGAGGAGAGAGCGGGACAGCGGGGAGAAGAGCGGGACAGCCCGGGGAGCAGAGCGGGACAGCCCGGGGAGTAGAGCGGGACAGCCCGGGGAGTAGGGCGGGGCAGCCCGGGAAGCAGAGCGGAGTAGCCCGGGGAGCAGAGCGGGGCAGCCCGGGGAGCAGAGCGGGACAGCCCGGGGAGCATAGCGGGATGGTCCGGGGAACAGAGTGGGATAGCCCGGGGAACAGAGCGAGGCAGCCCGGGAGCAGAGCGAGACAGCCCGGGGAGCGGAGGGAAACGGCCCGGGGAAGAGAGTGGGACAGCACGGGAGCAAAGCGGGGCAGCCCGGGGAGCAGAGCGAAATAGCACAGGAGCAGAGCGGGGCAGCCCGGGGAGCAGAGCGGGACAGCCCGGAGAGCAGGGCGGGACAGCCCGGGGAACAGAGCGACACAGCACAGGAGCAGAGCGGGACAGCGTGGGGAGTAGAGCGGGACAGCCCGGGGAGCAGAGCGGGACAGCGCGGGGAGTTGAGCGGAACAGCCCTGGAAGCAGAACGAGACAACCCGGGGGGCGAGTGGGACAGCCGGGGGCGCAGAGCGGGGCAGCCCGGGGAGCAGAGCGGGACAGCCCGGGGATTAGAGCGGGACAGCCCAGGGAGAGCGGGGACAGCCCGGGAGCAGAGCCGGGACAGCCCGGGAGCAGAGCGGGGCAAACCCGGGAGGAGAGCGGCACAGCAGACCGGCGCGGGCAGAGCTGCAGCGGGCGGCACTCGTAGCCGAGCTGCCGGTCGGGGCGGGCGGGCGCTTTCTAGCAGAGGTCAGCCGGGGGAGAAAGCTGGCCGGCGGCCGAGTCGCCTCACGATGTGTGCAACCGTGCGCCGGTGCCGCGCCGCCCCGCCGCCACCCAGCAACCGGCGCACAGCTGACCGCTTCTGGGCGGGCCCGGCGCTGTCAGCGACCGAGTCATGGAGACGGGGCGGGAAGGCCACGAGGGGCCCGCCGGAGACTCTGAGGCGCTCACACTGGGTAGAAACAATCGCACCCGCCGTGATTTGTATTCGGTGGCACATCTGCGGCATGTAAACTAACCTCGTCGGCGTGTACCTGGCAACCTCCGCCTGATGTGTCCACACCTCCTGTCCGGGGCGGAGAGGCGAAGCTCGCTCTTTCCGAAGGCACTGCACGGAAGCGGAGCCGTGGGCGGCCGTCGGCAGCCGGCCGTGGTAACGCCATGGACGGCGGCCGGTGGCTGCCACGTGACCCGTCTGAGCGCGCTGTGGGCGGCCGGCCTGGCACGCGCCAGCCGCGGCCTCCGCCCGGGCCCGACCGCGTCCGGTTGGCGGCGGCGGCGACGGCTCACTGTCAAGGTCGGCCGCCGCTGCCGCCGTCGGCACCGCCACCAGGCCGGCTGTGTCGGACCGTCACCAGGCGGGCTGTGTCGGACCGTCACTGGATGGGCTGTGTCGGACCGTCACTGGATGGGCTGTGTCGGACCGTCACTGGGCGGGCTGTGTCGGCCCGTCACTGGGCGGGCTGTGTCGGCCCGTCGCTGGACGGCGGTGTCGGGCCGTCACCCGACAGGCTGTGTCGGCCCGTCACTGGACGGGCCGTGTCGGCCGTCGCCGGGTAGGTTGTGTCGGACCGCCACCGGGCCGGCTGTGTCGGTCCGTCACTGGACAGGCTGTGTTACTGGGCCGGCTCTTTTGGCCGGCACCCGCCTTGCGTCCAGCGGACCCGACAGCTGCGCCTGCCGGGTCCGGCCAGCGGGCTGGCGCCGTCGCTGCGTGACCGCCCCGCTCCGCCGGGGAGACCGAGCAGAGCTGGGCCGGCTGACGACTGACAGCCGTTTCCGGGTGGCCGCTGCGTGCGGCGCGCTGCCGGGCTGCCGGCTGGGAGTGGAGGGGGTGGGGCCGCGGCCGCCGCGCCGCTCCCCCGGCCGGCCCCGCCGCCGGCCGGCAGTGCGCACCCGGCAAGGTCACAGGGCGGCCGGCGCGCCCGTGCGCCGCGCCACCCGGCCGCACGCCGCCGTGGCGCGCCGGCCGCCGCCGCCCGGCCGCTCGGATTGTGGCGGCCGGCGGCCGGCGGGAGTCACGCGGACCTCTGACACACTGTCACGCGGCACCCCGGGCCGCCAGTCACGCCCGTCGCTGATGCATACCAAGCTCCGCGCGGGACGTATATGGTGCGGCGGCCAGCTCCGTCCCGCTGACGAGGGGGGGGGGGGGGGGCAGAGTGTCGGCTCACCGAACCTCTCCCGGGCACTATCACGTGCTTAGTCCGGCCGGCGACGCTCAGCCGTTGGTCGCCTGCACTCACTCCACACGTCCACTCGCCGATATGGCCGGTGATATCATCGCCAGCGATCCTGAGGGCTGTCCGAATCCCTTTGATGACGCAGGCGGCGAGCGTTGGCCGCCCGTCGGCCCTGACCGGGCTTCCGGCGTGCTGGTTATAGGCCGTTGGCGGCGGATGTAACGCTGGCGCCGCCGCGCTGCGCCGCTTTCAGTGGGCGTGTTGAGCGCCATCTGTTCCGGCGCTGGCGGCGGCCAGACGCGAACAATGGGCCCCCGTCCCCGGCGGGGCTGTTCGCTCCACGGTTGCGGGTCGCTGTAGCCAACGCCTGTTACATTGCACGTCGTTAGTCTCATATGTAGCTGTAATTGTTCCGCTCTTTTGCTCAGTTTGTCGACCTTTGGGGTGGCGAAATGTGGGCTTTGCACCGCATCATCGACGATTTTTAATGGGCTCATGGGCCACCTGGGATCACAGCCTTAGAGCAGAAACTGCTCACCGCGTTAGAAGAATTGTAGTGCATCCACCATAGATTGCACAGTTACGTTGCTTCGTGTTAGGTAACTATGTGCTTAGCTGCGTGTGTTTTAAACTTGCTTCTGTGCTTGACTTGTGCGAGACAGTCAAGCGTTTTCATTAGTTCCTTTCTGCTGTCGGCACGACAAGTCTGACGAGCGCAGTGTCCCAGTCCTGTGGCTTGGCAGGGACAACAGTGGGACGTAGCTGTCCTAACTCTGCCCCACGCTGTCGGCAGGATGAGACGAACGAGTCGAGCGAGAAGAAGTCGGCCAAGGACGCGCTGCTGCTCTGGTGCCAGCGGAAGACGGCCGGCTACAAGGGCGTTCAGATCAACGACTTCTCCTGTAAGCGGGGCGTGGCCGTCGCCGCGTAGTCAGCTCCGGAGTCTTCACATCCAGCCCATGTCCAGCCCATGTCCAGTCTAACCGTGGCCCGCGGTGCCTGGGGCCGGCGGACCGGTGACGCGCCTGCAGGGGGAATCGCAGGGTCGGTACGGATCGGTGTCGGCATGGCTAGCTCTGTTATGCTCGTGGCTGGCTCCGGTATGCTCGCGACTGGAGGGCGAACGGTCGGAGTCGGCCGGCTCTCCTCTCAACTGCGGTCAGAGTCGGCCGGCTCTTCCCTCAACTGGAGGGCGAGCGGTCGGAGCCGGCCGGCTCTCCTCTCAACTGGAGGGCGAGCGGTCGGAGTCGGCCGGCTCTCCTCTCCACTGGAGGGCGAGCGGTCGGAGTCGGCCGGCTCTCCTCTCCACTGGAGGGCGAGCGGTCGGAGTCGGTCGGCTCTCCTCTCAACTGGAGGGCGAACGGTCGGAGTCGGTCGGCTCTCCTCTCAACTGGAGGGCGAGCGGGTCGGGTGTCGAACCGGGCTCTCCTCTCAACCGGAGGGCGAGCGGTCGGAGTCGACCGGTTCTCCTTTCCACCGGTGGCGAGCGGTCGGATTCTGCTTGCCCTCCTCCCCTCCGTCTCGGCTGGGTTGCGCCTTTCTTCAGACTTGTCCCTGCATCGTCTGGGCGTTCTAAAGTCGATCTGGCCTTGTCGTGTCTGTTGGATTGAGGCATTGCGCGGCCGTGCCCCCCCCCCCCCCCCCCTCCTTCTGCCCCGCCGCCGGCCTGTTCGGCTGTGATTGATTTACTGTCGCTTTGTTTGGGCCATTCGGAAGGCGTGACGTTTTCAATCGAGGTCCGGAGCAAGAAAGTTGTGAATGCCCAGTAAAAACTCCGATGGTTAATCCCAACGATATTCAATCCAGAATCAGAATTCAGAATCCATCCCGATATTCAAATCCAATGACTTAACAACATCAAATCTAACAAAACCGAGACGGGCGTGACATGCCCTGTCAGCACCGGAACACATGTCTGCGCCGTAGTGGCCGTTGCCATCATTTTTTTTTCTGGGGGGGGGGGGGGGGCGTTTTGTGCCGATGCCCGGTCTGCTGTGTGCACGCTGGCTGCTGAGCCTGCCCGTCCGTGTGGTGAGAGCCGTGACAGGCGCGGGGACACTCCGCATCACTGTGGTCTGGACGCGGGTGTGAGCTGTTGCAGCTATGAAGGCCGCACCAGGGAATCTCTGGTATTCGGACCCATGCTCTGATTCAGGGTGTTGTGATTACCAAGGCCATGGCTCTGTACGGGCGTATCGGATGCAGGTCTGTGCTGCGGTGAGCGCCCGTGTCGTGCCTCTGGCACGCTGTCTGCTGTACTCTGACCCGCGCTCATGCACCGACGTCTCTTGTTCAGCGCCGGCTCCGGCGTGACGTCACAGACGCTGCACCTGAGGTCGCCAGCTGACTCCCCGCTCGTTACAGCGTCCTGGAGGAGCGGCATGGGCTTCAACGCGCTGATCCACGCCCACCGGCCGGACCTGATTGACTACGACGCCCTTCAGCCGGGACGCCACCTGGACAACCTGAACAACGCGTTCGAGTGGCCCAGAAGGACTTGGGCATCCACCGGCTTGCTGGACGCCGAGGGTGAAGACGGGCGCCTCGGGAACGCAGCCGGCCGGGACTGAGGGAGCCGAGGGGAGGCGGGGAGTGGGCACCACCAAACCCTGCCCGAGCACCATCGACACCGTCTCCCGCCTCCTCCGCCTCGCCCTCCCGACTCATTAACTTCTCAACTGGCGCTTCATCCACGCCCCGGTCCTGCGGTCGCGTCTTTCCATTGCGGGATAGTTGGAGTGTTTTGGCTGCCGCTGTGAGCGGCGGTAGATGGCCAGCATGGGCGCGGGTGGCGGTGGGGCGCCCGCGGCCATGTCATCAGCCGTGTTCGGAAGGGGGGGGGGGGGGGGGGTGGCGCCGCAGCGCGCTGCTGCTGGTCCCAGCTGCGTTGCCAACTTTGAGTGCCCGCTAGCTCTCGCCGACCCCGAGTGCCCGCCAGCTCTGGCCGACCCTGAGTGCCCGCCAGCACTGGCCGACCCCGAGTGCCCGCCAGCACTGGCCGACCGCGCCGGGCTGTGCGTCCCTCCCGCCGGCTAACTCGTTCCCGCTGAGCAGTCCTTCTGCTCCGCTTCTGTTGAGCCACCCAGCGACGGCAGCTCGGGGCGCAGTTTTTCCGTGAGCAGCGTTTGCAGGCGTATGTGTCAGCGAGGCGGAATGGCAGCTTGCAGTGTCTGCTACGCTTATCACTCGCCAACTGCTGCCAATCCGAGGTCTTTTTGCTCCTCTTATGTAGCAGAATTGAAAGGTTCACTATTTTGCGTAATGGCTCCAAGGTCCGTGTTGACTCACGCCAGATTGTTTACAGCCGCGCGTTGTTTGCAGATCGAACTCATACGCGCCTTGTTTTGAGCCTGCGCAGTTCAGCATTATCACCACTCCTCCTCGGCGCTTTCTTGCGCGAATTGAAATTCCTCCACGGCGAAAGCTTTTCCTCTGCCTTGTGCAAGTCAAAATAATGCACTATTTTCCGTCGAATAAGGCTAACAAGGGCACGATAGGCCCCGAATGCGCAAAAGACGGGCATGACTGATCGTTGCACAGGACACCTAATTGTTGAACAACCTTGACGTGTGTGTTCTACTGTGTGCTGTTACGCCATCCTATTTTCAGACATTGATGTCAACAAGCCTGACGAGAAGTCCGTGATGACGTATGTGGCGTCGTACTACCACACCTTCGCCAAGATGAAGTCGGAGATCAAGGGCGGCAAGAGGATCGCCAACGTGAGTGCGGGCCGGCGGTGCGGCCCGTCCGGCTCTGGCAGCCGCCTGTCGCTCCGGCGGCGGCCGTCCGGGTGCCGTTCCGCCGACGCCTCGCGGACTCGTGGCCCGGCGCGCTCCGCCGCCGCCCGGCCGGCCGGCTCGCTCCACTCTAGGGATCCAAACACAGTCGCTGTCGGAGTCGGTGTCACAGTCTGGGTCGGTGCGATCGGTTGATGGGATGCCGCGGACCCGGCATCGCCAGCTTACCCCTGGACATGCCCAGTCACGGGGTCACGAGGTCATTCTTTCCGCAATGGATAGCCGATTACGTACAAAATCATTGGATCATTCAGCACACATGCTATCGCCATGAGGTAATGCGCCCATCCCTGTTGCTGAAAATGGGAAAATAAATTAGTCGCGTTTTGCGACGGCAGTGCAGCTGAATTAATCGTTTTCCTCTTGGCCAGTGGACGTGGCCGCGATGCGGCCGCGTTGTAGAGCTAACGGCATGACCGTGTCCGGCCGTGTTTTGTACGTGGCACACATTCTCGGTGTGTGAAGCCGCGCTCCGGGCGTGAGACGAGAGCGAGCTGGTGCGGGCGCGTGGTGGACTGACGCTACCTGGTCCTCTCCGTCGTCAGCTGGTGGGTCAGATGATGGAGGTGGACCGACTGCAGGAGCGCTACATCGTGCTCACCTCCGCGCTGCTCGAGTGGATCCAGCTCAAGATCACGGTGCTGGAGGACAGGGAGTTCCCCAACTCACTCGAGGGCATCCAGAAGGAGCTGCTCAAGTTCAAAAGCTACCGAACAGAGGAGAAACCGCCCAAGTAAGCACTCGATCGGCTGGTTTCGGTAGGCGTGGGCGGGGAAGATCTCAGGGATCGGAAGGCAGTGCGACGCGTCGTGAGCTGGCGTTGGGGGGGAGGTGGGGGGGGGGGGCAGCTGGTGACCGGCCGTCAAGCGTGCGACGGCGTACCAACGTTTGTCGTCAGCTCACGCCGTGGAATATCTCCAGCAGTGGCGAGCTGGTCGTGTGCGGCGCCCTGCGTTTGTGACGCTGTGTTTCGGGCCCGACTGACGGCAGCCCCGGCCGCGGCGCTCGCCAGGTTCCGGGAGCGGAGCGAGATCGAAGCGCTCTTCTTCGACATCAACACCAAGCTGAAGGCGCTCAACAAGCCGGCCTTCTCGCCGCCTGAGGGTCGGCTGATCCACGACATCGAGAAGACGTGGACGCAGCTGGACAAGGCCGAGCACGCGCGCGAGGTGGCGCTGCGCGCCGAGCTGCAGCGTCAGGAGAGGCTTGAGCAGCTCGCCTACAAGTTCGAGAGGAAGGTGAGCGGATGGACGAGAGAGACAAAGAGAGCGCGCGCGGCGCAGACCGCTGCGGGCGCTCTGACCGACGGGGTGGAGGCGGACAGGGGGTTGAGGAGTGAGTGGTGGTAGTAGATAGAGTGACGGGATTGGGAGGGGAGGGAGGGCAGAGCGCTGTAGATGGCGGTCGCTAGAGGCTGTGGCATAGAGAGACAAGCAGTTACGGTGGAACATCTGGTGTGAGGGCTGCTCCGGATGTTATGCAGTTGAACCCTGGAATGACCGGGAGTCCCACTTTGTGTGTATTTTCGCGCAGGTCCTCCAGTGACTCGCGACGATAAACCACACTTGTTTGGCAACCCTCGGACGGATTTGTGAAAACTGACCGCTGACCACTGACCACTGATCTCTGACCGCTGACCTGACTGACCACTGACCACTGACCACTGACCACTGACCACTGACCGCTGACCGCTAGCCACTGACCGCCGACCGCTGACCGCTGACCTCTTCTCCGTCCGCAGGGCGTACTGCGCGAAGGCTACCTGAAGGAGATGATTCAGGTGCTGTCCGACCCGCGCTACGGCAGCAACGTCACACAGGTGGAGGCCACCGTGAAGAAGCACGAGGCCATCAGCGCCGACATCCTGGCTAGGGTAGGTGGGCCCGCCGCGCTCTCCCGCGGCCCGTCCGGGCGAGACATCTGCTCTCCGTGTGTCGACCCTCGGCCGCTGCGCGACGTGTTGTGTCCACTGGGCAACGCTGCCTTCGATACTCGAATGCCTTTTATGTTTTGTTCTCTCGTTTGCTGTCCCGAACAGTCACCGCAGCGAAGGCTGAGCGAAG